GTCGACGATGTTGGACAACTCGCTGCCTTTGCGTCTCTCTCTCTCTCTCTCTCTCTCTCTTCCTCCTCTTCTCCTCTTCTCCTCCCCTATTTTTAACGCCCGCGGCGCGTGTCGAGAGATTGTCGGTGAATAATCGCGGACTTCACATCCATTTGCCTTCTGAGTATAGCTATCGACTGGACATTAGTCAACCTTTCGGACTTCCGTTTGCTGAAGAGGTATTCTTTTTGTCAATACTTTGGAAACAGTTTTTACTATACGTGACTTTCTTCTCATAAATTTCAAGACGATGCTGATTCATCGATCGATTTAGCAGAAGATATTTCTTTGGTTGTCTTCTTATAAAAGCGTAACTGTGCTAGTAATTGAAAAAGATTGTTTTTTTTTTAATTTTTAAATATATTTATATTAAATTTTATAATAAAATATTTATAATAAATTTAGAATTTTATATCGTAATAATTTTTTATATCGTATTAATTTAATATTTTAAAATTATTTGTCGTACCATAAGTTTGTTATAAAATAGAAATAATTTGGAGATAAAAAGTATTATTTAAAAAAAAATATCGAATTTTGTTTTATCATTATTTGAATTTTTTAATTTCCATCGATATAATTAATATTTTTTTAATCATACAAAGCTTAAATAAATCTTAATTAAGCGTTATATATTATATAAAGTGTGAAGATCGGAGAAGTTTTAGTTTTATATATGATACATGTCGAATGTCGAATGTCGAACAAACGGATTACGTAAATCGAACGAAGTCGTATTTCCTTATCGGAACAACAATCTTGATCAGCCTTACGTCAATAAACTTCAGTTTTTACGATTTCGCGTCTGCGATCCTAAGAGCGATAAAAAGGGGAGAGATGAGGTGGTACAAAGAAAAGTAGCAAAGAGAAACAGCGTAGAGATAGGGCGAGGTTTAAATGCGAGCGCGCAAAGAGAGAGAGAGAGACTCTAAAGCTGTCTCCGGCGTCTTGCCATAAATCGAACAAGTCCGACTTTTCAGGTCGCGTACCGCCAAGCTCTCTTTCTCGAGCTTATTTAAATCATCCCTAAAGCCTCTTTAATATTGAAAAATGGTCGCAGGCAATAATTCGCTCTTCACGTTCTCGTTTCTCTCTGTGAGAACTGTTTCGACTCGTTGAATAAACGAACTGCCTTCCTTCATGTAATCACGATTGTTAAGGTAACAATAATTGTACTAATTTCTACAGATTTTATACTTTAATATTTTTGATGAACTCGGGTTGTTTATTAAAACTACCGACTATAAACGTTCTAACGAAGCTTTTTATTCCGCACGTATTAGAGTGTTGTGGAATATTGAATGCTATAATGTTTGCTTCATCATATAATTCGTTACCCGGAAAATGCGATTTCCGAATATTGGATATACCACGAACGAGATTTGCACGGCGTTACTCGATATTCATTTGCAGCAATCCGGAATGATTCGCATTTCACGAATGTACGATTAATTCAGACTCACCGTGTAGTTGCACGAATGTTGCGCTCGATAGATGATCTAAATTAATCATTGCCATTTTTTTTTTTTGCACATCATTGCCAAAATCTTGCTAAATCAAGCTAAATTTTATCGCGCATCAATATCACATCGGTATCACACTATATCGTTACGCTTTTATTAATGATAGAACGTTCGTTTGAAAAGTTGAATTGTCGGACGGAATTTTAGATCGTCAAACGTCGCGAATGTTGGATATCCGCAAATTCAGAGGGAGGGCAAGAGAAAACGCACCGTGTTCCAACCATCTTCCGTTAGCCTAACTCCATGTATCGTGCCCATTTCCGTATTCGATGCGCCACGTTTTGGAGGATAGCTGAGGGATTTAGGTAGAACGTTAATAACATTCGCTTAACTTTGACCCTCCCGGCTGTCGAGCTAGAGCGTAATGAAGCTCTGACGACCTTTCGCGTTCGCTATATGTCGCTCGACGTGCGTTGACGTGCTTTAGGATTCTCATTCCGCTTCGTGACGGTGCATAATCGACCTGACCGTAGGATTACCAGACGAATCGTTGTCGAATCGATCTTTCCAAACAACGTCGAAATTAAGGTGTCCACGCATTAACCTGCCAAAACTCGTTCGTTCCCGTGTTCGTATAAAAAATACGTAATCTTGCCCACGAATGAAATTAAAGTAAATTAGCGAATAGTACCTAGTTAAACTTGTATCATTATTGCAAATTGCATTATGGAAATGCGACGAGTGTGACCGGTAATGAAATTGGATGGAAATTGTAAGAGATTATTATATAATACAATTAACATCTCTCGTGTGTTTGCTTTTATATATTTATTCTACGGTATTTTTATGAATATTTCGTAATTGAATGAAATCTTTGTTCTTTTTTTAAATAACATTATGCGGTTTTAAAGTTGACACAATAGATTAAATTAAAGTGTTCTTTTTATTATTCAAACGCTATTTCGATAATTGATCGTCGTAGAATCCTCCTTCTCGCTTGTCGCTAAAAACTACATAGCGAAACAATGTGCGTGCAGACATTGCTCCGCCACGTCATAAATCCGGTCGCGGAAAGTCGACGGCGATTTCGCGCGGGTTGCTTCGCTGTAAATTATGAGGCGGTCATAATACGTTTTATGACTTTTCGCCGTTTCGTTTTAGCCGCTACAGCCTGCGACTTTGTACTCCTCGGGCATCCCGGGACGACACCTTTACATCTTCGTCATGCCTCGGTTACGTTTCGTCTGCCTCTGTTAGACAAACCGACAGTTAGGTACCGTCTTTTTGCTGCGCGTTTCGCAACGTTGGCGCGTAATGGCGTAGCGCGAAACTCCCGTCTGCGTTTGCTGTTTATTCATTATACACGAGCTCTCTGCTCGTTAGAACAATATGTAAGTTGAGCTTTTATTCGAGATGGTATGACTCGGGGGAAATTTCTCGCTATGCTACGCTTTTGGTTTTTATTACCGTTTATTATATGGCCGGTTATTCTACAAAAACAGCGCATATTTTACTAAAAAAAGTAATTAAGAAAACCGTAAATATAAGTGAAATTATTGATTAATTATTTAGAGACACACATATCGCATTTTTATACACTGATATCGTTGTCCAGATTTTTTATTTAGAATAAACTTGCCCTACGAATGAGATTTCATTATTTAATAAAATTTTGATAAAATACTACGGTATTATACATGGTATACATATAACGAATACCGACACTATCGTTAGAAGTTACAAAGGGATTTCAATCATCTCCAATTTAGAAGATTTGTATGTCATTTTTAAGAGTATTACAATTTAGTAGAATTTTTTAAATATTTTTGACGCATTACGTGGATGAATCAGTAAATAACCTTAATTTTCATCATCTCGATTATCAAGAGCAAAATTAAGGTTATTTATTAATTGACCTATCATAAAAGAACTGTCGAGAACTAAAAGAGACAGTAATCTTACATTTGGGTTGTATTTTCATCACGTATGATAATACACTTAATATTATCAGCGAGCATTGATACAAACGTACTTCTTCCTTTCTTTTTCGGACTTTTTTTTTTTTTCCTAGTCTCACGCTCTCTTTGCTCACGTAGACATTAGAGCTCTCTCCGTTCCATTTCCGGCAGCACAAGTCCAACCTTGCCCGACACGCAGGAACCGTCGGCTCCTTCGTTCATACGAAGTTTGACACGGAAATTTATTCGCGCTTAACCGATTTGGCAGTGGTTCAAGACGGATGCTCCACCCACCTAGAGAAGTCTGCCGCTGTTTTACGATCAAAGTTCAGAACGACATTTGCACGTCGGCTCTTTCGTCTCGGTTCCGCAGCCGACATCGCCATCGCCGCCCTCATCCTTTGTACTATTTCCTCGCTGCACCTTCTACGAGGCCGGTTTCTCGGTTTCTCTCGATGTCGTCGTCAACGTCCCTCCCTTGTCCTCCCTTGTCCGACATGCCCGAACGACTCGCCGTCATTTTCTTCCTAGAGAATTTCCGTCTCGGTAATCTCGGTAGTCCCGCTCCATCCAGATCCATCGAGAGTGACCGATGACTGGAACGGTTATATATCGGATGATAAAAATTCGCAAACGAATCTGAGCAAACGCGCTTCGCTGGCGCGAGCTTCGGGAGATTGAAACGCCGGAGGCTAGCGAGTGAAAGAAACAGACATTCATAAAAATGCGCGATATGCGGAGCGCAAAGAATGTTTGGCGCGTTGACCGACGAGGAAAAATGCCGCAGAGCCTTCGAGAGCCTCTGGTTCGACGAGAGCGTTTGTTTGAAGTACAATATTTCATATCCACTTCGATATATCGCATTTCCGCGTTACTTTGTGTAATTCGAGCCACACTGTCGAATGAAATTTGAGATATTTTTACGCCCGTATAAGAATTTATTTACATGAAGGATACGTATTAAAATATTCGGGCGGAGAGATGAATTTGTATAGCGTTAATATTTTATTTTAATTTTTGAATATACTTTATATCTGCTTAAACACAAAACTTGATTTTGATTAATTCATTACGAAGCAATAACACGGAAAAACAGCATACATTTGATGAAACCGAGTTCTAACAGGCGAGTGATTACAGAAAATTTCATAGCGTACGGTGGAGTGCACTCGGCTTTTACGTACGTTGGGATTCCACAGTGCGAATGATTTTCATATATGAATGCTGTTCACTTTCCACAATATTGCATTTTCGAAATTATTAACAATACGCCCCGCTTGCAATTTTGCATCCGGAAATTGTGTATTTGCTTTTACGCTTCGAAAACACATAAACTGCGGTATGGAAAAAAGAGAGAGAGAGAGAGAGAGAGAGAGAGGGAGATCTCTAAATAATTCCTTTTCATTTCTACTAATCTGAATACGCGCTTTAACGCGTGAGAGTGATTTATACGAAATTTAGCTCGAGTGCAAACCAGCAGTAGGAGAAATTATCGATCCTTCCCATCCTCTAAATTGCTATCTTTCTGTTTCTGTTACAGAGTGATAGCGGGCTAGTGGACACAGATCCAGGTCGAGTTAGCAGCATGACAGCCATTAACTCGGTGAGCCAACGTTAAATTAATACGCGACGATAAAAGCAATGCGCACAGTATCGCTTCGTTTAATAACTCGATATTACATCAACTGGTTGCGTCCGTTTTAAATTATGTAAACCGAATAATTTACCGATAATGTACGTTAATGGCCGTGACCGTATTTGACCAAGTTGTGACCAACGGAGGAGCGGGAAATCTTTTTTAACGTGAAAGAGAACTTTCTACTAATTCAATTATTTTCTTTTTCGCTCGCTTATGCGTTACTGTGCACATTTGAATTTCTCATCGCGTCCCATTTATGGCTGTACGAGAAATAGCATTAATCCGAACGAAAAGTCGCTTGGAGAAAAGATATTCACGATGCTGAAGTATCGATTCCTGAAATGGTTTCACACTCTCACGTGACGAACCATAGGGGGAAACGAGAAAGAGTGACGGTAACGGGGAGCCTCGTTATACAGCCGTTGTTCATCAAATATGTAGGCAACTGTTCCCAATATAGGAGAGTCCGCTTGCGGAGGTTCCATCCGCTAATAATCCCGTAATGCTACTCACGCGACCGTAGTTTCCTGGGGGAAAGAAGATAGCGGCTTGTCTACGGTCTGCGCGAATGTTTGCGTGGCGGGACGTTTCGGCTCGACAAACAACCAAGGGAAGCCAGAGGGTGCAAGCCTAGTATTTTATCAATCCTAATACAGTTATCATCGACTAACATTTGGTATTGTTATGACTATGGGACGAAGGTTGTTGATTCTTAGGTCAGACGGCCTTAGCTCGTTAATCCTTTTTACATTACCGTCGTGTGTTCGTTGAATTTACAGAATTTACTATACAGCTTTATATATTTTATTACATGTATTATACATATGTGCAACACATATATGTACATTGGACTTGAGACAAATTAATACAAATTAATCCTTAGTATGGTCTTTATTGTAAAGGAGTTTTTTTTTTATATATATATCTATGAATATGGAAATCTCGGAATAATCCCTTAAAACTAGATTAAATAGCTCTAAAATGTAGTCGATAAAATGTAATATTCTTGACATTCTCTGTAAAATTACTCCACAAAACGGAGCTTCTAAAAAATACATCAAATGTAAGATTCGATATTAAAATTAGAATAACTGAAATGAAAATAATGCAGATATTTATTTGATTTAATAGACAATGGAGACTTTGGATGTAGGTAGAGAATATTACCAGAATAAATCATTTCTAGATAGAGTTAAATGCGCGATTTGACAAGATGAAACGACAACTCGTCTCATTTCTTCCTTACAATACCATCAGATGATTTATATTCATATCGCATTGTGAGCGCAATGAATCAAAACTTCTTCCCTCTAATCGACCGTCGTTCATCCCTCTTTTCTGGCGTTAGGCCTTGAGCTTTGCGACGCCTGACCCGTTCGGATGCGTTACATTATGAATCGTGGAAAATCAACGTTTGCATGATAACGACGTGACGGCTCAGGTCGGTGAAAGGTGAGACACGCGAAGCGACGACGGTGGGAGCTTTCCTGCATAGGAAGAGAAGCCAGCGCGCGTTCTCCCGGGAATTGTACACGAATACGGCAACATACGGTATATTCATAGTTTTCGACCACCCTCACGGAATTCGTGCACTTGTTCGGCGAAGTGAGAACCGGATCGGCGGAATTCAAAACCGGATGCTTCTTCCGCTTCCCTTTTCCCTCGTTCCCGTCGCCCATTGCCGTCGCGATCGATTTGGGAATACGGCCGCATGCATCGTGGCAGAATCCCGAGAATTCGTGCCGCGTCTTCTCGAGAGAGAACAACCCCGGTTGGTTACGAACTTGTCTCTACGACCTGCTGCACTGTCGCGACAATGGTATATCGATTGTGTAGCACCATCGAGTCCCGCGGGAATACGCGCGTTGATTACTCACGAAGATTACGTTGCGAATCTGCGTTCTTCTATAAATGTCCGTCGCATGAATGTGAGAGATATTCATGCTTAACATAAACTAGTTGTAGACGACAATTGTCAAATTACTTAATATTGATAACAATATTCCGATATGAGAAGAAGTGGAAAAATATAATGAGAGCTGCCATTTCGATATTCTATAGGATTTGTATGTGTTATTATGGCATTTGATAATTTTTTTCAAACTCGATTAGTTATTGATATCCTTATAGTATTATTATAGTATTTGACACAATAAAAATAAATAATGCGATATATTCACAAGTAGTCGTAAAGTTTGGCAACTGTCCTATTATAAGCGTTTCGTAATGGGAGGAAATTTTGGACGAGTGAGTGGCTCTCTGGCACGAGAGAAAGGAAAGTATCTATTGTTTTTCCATAATCAAATTCTACCATCTATCTCATAATATAAAAGCAGGTTGTCTTATGATAGTGTGC